TGTGACATCATCGCACCAGTGCAGAAGGTGGTGGTTATTCCCGTAACACGTGTGACATCATCGCACCAGTGCAGAAGGTGGTGGTTATTCCCGTAACACGTGTGACATCATCGCACCAGTGCAGAAGGTGGTGGTTATTCCCGTAACACGTGTGACATCATCGCACCAGTGCAGAAGGTGGTGGTTATTCCCGTAACACGTGTGACATCATCGCACCAGTGCAGAAGGTGGTGGTTATTCCCGTAACACGTGTGACATCATCGCACCAGTGCAGAAGGTGGTGGTTATTCCCGTAACACGTGTGACATCATCGCACCAGTGCAGAAGGTGGTGGTTATTCCCGTAACACGTGTGACATCATCGCACCAGTGCAGAAGGTGGTGGTTATTCCCGTAACACGTGTGACATCATCGCACCAGTGCAGAAGGTGGTGGTTATTCCCGTAACACGTGTGATATCATCGCACCAGTGCAGAAGGTGGTGGTTATTCCCGTAACATATGACATCATTGCACCAGTGACACATCACACCTGTTTGGTCGGCAGTGTAGAATGCTGGGATCACAGCTGAGTGACATTGTTGATGACCCCCCCTCCACACACACACAGGCTGACACTATGAAGGTAGACGTCAGGGTCAGTTTTCTTCTGTTCTAACACTAAAGAAACAGGGTTCACGCACATCTTACCTGCTTTTGTTGCTGTGATGAAATTCAACCATGAAACTCTAACCAGTCATTTGGTCTCACAGAGTCCTGTTCAACACAGATGTGTGTTTCCCCCTGGAACTTTAGCTTGCACAAAAAAAAGAATTACGGTAGGTGATAAAGAGACAGCTCAGAAGTTCAGAGTGTCTTCTGCTCTTGCAGGGGAACAGGGCTCAGCTCCCAGCACCTACATGGTGGCTAAAAACACCTGTAATTCTGTTCTAGCATACCTGATGCCTTCTCCTGCCGGTTCCAAGCACTAAGATGGCACACATACATGAGTGTACACAAAACATTTACATACATCATACACTAAAAGTATTTTTTTTAAGGGATGAACAGTAGAGTCACTGCAGAGGTTGGAAAGGGTGGGAGCAGGGGAAGCAATGAGATCGGTTAGTGGTTAGTTGCGTGCCTCAGCACAGCATGTAGGGCAGAATGTCCCATTGAGCATTACCGAGCATACCCAGGGTGGGCTTACTTACTGACTTGTGAGTGACGAAGCTCTCAGAGAACTGGATTGACACTGAGGACGCTCAGTCAGGCTTAAGACTGTGAAAGCCCTTTTCCTCCAAGCCTTCCCTAATTGAATTAGACTCTTTCTGGCAGTGGAGGAGCCTGGGACGGGCTAACTGGAAGGACAGCTTTGCACATGCTGTGACTTGGCTCTTCAGCAGTGCTGGGATGCTTGTCTGAGCTCAGATGATGCTTCCCCTTGGCCGTGGTTCTTTCACCTTCCTCTGCGGTTATACGATGGGAATGGAAGTTCCTGGAGGGAAGCCAGGCTGCTGCCAAACCTGCAGGGCTGGTTAACCGATTAGAATTGCAGTCCTTATGGAGAGGCTGAGATGTGGCAGGTCCAGGGCCAAACTACAGTTTACCTGGGGTCATCTTTAGCCTCCGTATTAGACATTCCTTTCCCTGTCTATCTGAGCTAACATCCCTGTGACTATTGGGTAATCCCTCCTCCCCTTCTCTTTCCTTCTTTCCTCTCTTCCTTCTGTTTTGCCTTCCTTCCTTCCTTTCTTTTTTTCTTTCCTGTTTTTTGAGATGGGGTCTCACTTAGCTCAGACTGCCCTGGAACTCCCTATGTGGACCAAGCTACCCTAGAATTCGCAGAGATTCACCTGCCTCTGTACCCTAAATGCTGGGATTAAAGCCATGTGCCTCTTAACACAGCTCAGCCAAGCTGTTTGAAGTGACTTAGCTTAGTAGACCCCTGGTTTCCACCAGCTCCAAAGCTGAGAGTGTCATCGGACAGCATGTGAGACCTACATCAGAGAAGAGATTCCCCAACTTTCCTCTAACCATCTGCCCAGTGTTTCCATCCGTGCATAGGAAAAGTGTCTTCATTTGTGGCCTTTGTCTTGTTTTTATAAAAACTTCTTGAAGTTGCCAGCTCATCTGGACGTGGGACTTGGAGTACTCTAAAAGTGTTCCCAGGCCATGGTCACTCATATTTGGCTCTCTAACAAACTGTCTCATCCTTTATGAGGTAAAAGCTGGCTTTGGGTTTTATTTTATCTATTTTTTTGTTTGTTTTTTGCATTGGCAGTGACAGCTTATCTCAGGGCAGGCTGGTAACCTTTCAGAATTACTCTGTTGGCTAACACTCAAGACGCTGCTTACAGGGAAAAGCCCTCAGGAGTGGACCACACTACCTTCATCCTGTTCTCAGAAACTTCGGCGCATGCTTCAAACCCTACAGAATCTAAGGCACATTCATTGAGAAGAAAATGCTTTCATGTATGTACTAGAGTGTAGAGAGAATGCTTTCATGTATGTGCTAGAGTGTAGAGAGAATGATCTCATGTATGTGCTGGAGTGTAGAGAGAATGATCTCATGTATGTACTAGAGTGTAGAGAGAATGATCTCATGTATGTGCTGGAGTGTAGAGAGAATGCTTTCATGTATGTACTGGAGTGTAGAGAGAATGCTTTCATGTATGTGCTGGAGTGTAGAGAGAATTCTTTCATGTATGTGCTGGAGTGTAGAGAGAATTCTTTCATGTATGTGCTGGAGTGTAGAGAGAATTCTTTCATGTATGTGCTGGAGTGTAGAGAGAATTCTTTCATGTATGTGCTGGAGTGGAGAGAGAATGATCTCATGTATGTGCTGGAGTGTAGGAGGCAGAATAGTGATGGAGACTCAAGTCTGAAAGACTGCTAAGAAATCTATATAAAATTGGCAAATGAAGAAACAGGGTTGGCAATGAGAAAGGCTGTAACCCTCTGCCGCAGCCAACTAAAGCCAGCTGCTGGTGCAGGCCCAGGCGCAGGCGCAGACGCAGGGTCACTCCAGAGTGCCCGAAGGTGACTTCTGGCTGGTTATGTTACTAAAACACACAACCCTGGGTGAAGATTCACAGTGCTAACGAGACATGCCCCACATAAAAATTGTATCTAGAACTACACATGGCAGGTAAAATCTTGTGCTGAGAAAATGCGCCCCAAAGCCCCGTGCCTTTGACAGAGAGGACCCTATTCTCTGTACAGCAGTACTGAGTGAATTGTAGAGCTCTGCTGGTTTTGGTCTGCTTCTTCTGCCTAGAAAGTGTGCCCACTTGCTGCTTCTCCTGAGAACACGTGTCTCTGCTCCATTCCTGGGACTTTTCAGAGGTGTCCTCCAAACCCTGCTTTTAGATGACTCAGATACATGACAAAGGAACATCACAAAAGGAACACCACTAAATGAAATGTTTTCTGCTGTCTCGCCTCTCTGTCCTTGTGGCCTTTTATTTACTTCAGCCTGGGTAAGCGTGGCACTTACCCAGGCTCTGAGCCGCCCCACCAGAGTCATCTCTTTTGTGACCTATTTCCTTTTCATTACCGTTATTTCAAAATTGTGCTTCTAGCCAAGGTAGCTCTTACAATGCCTGCAAATTCATTTGGCTAATTGTAATTTAAGGGCTTCTAGGCTGAGAAGTTCAGGTGTCTGGTCATATCTGCTGCAGTGCAGATGTCGTGGGGTAGGCAGTTATGTGAGATTTCTTTATATCGATGGCCATTAGACAACTAAGGGAAAGCGCCTGTACCACTGCTGGGGCCCGGGTGGCATTGTGGGCTCCCCCCCACCCTCCTACACAACTTTAATCCTTGTTCTCAAACTGTTCTCTGTTTCAGCTGAAACTGACTTTAACCAGCCAGAGGTACCCAGTTGCTTTTTTAAAACTTTGTTTTCATATTATGTGCATTGGCGTTTTGCCTGCATTAATGTCCGTGTGAAAAGGTGTCAGATCTTGGAGTTACAGACAGTTGTTAGCTGCAATGTGGGTGCTAGGAATTGAACCCTGGTCCTCTGGAAGGGCAGTCAGTGCTCTTAACCGCTGAGCCATCTCACTGCGTTGAGCTCCTACCTAATTGCTTTTTAAAAAATATATTTTAGAAAATGATTTATTGCTATTTTTAAGTATACTGTTTCTCTGTCTATGTTTATGTAAGGAATCTCATGTGTACAGTGCCTGTGGGAACTAGAAGAGGGCATCAGATTCTCCCCAGAGTCACAGATGGCTGTGAGCTGGCATGTGGATGCTGAGGACAGAACCCAGATCCTCTATGAGCAGCCCGTGATCTTAACCACTGAGCCATCTCCATGCCAAAACCAATGGATTTTTAAAAAAGTCCTTCAATTTATGATTTTTTTTGTTCTGTTACCATAAAAACGCGAGCCAGTCAGTGGTGATTCCCACCTTTTAATCCCATAACTCAGGAGGCAGAGGCAGGTAAATTTCTGAAGTTGAGGCCAGCCTGGTCTATAGGGCAATTTCCAGAACAGTCAGGGCTACACAGAGAAACCCTGTCTCAAAACCAAAACAACAACCAACCAAAGAAAAAACCAACATGGTATTTGGGATAGCATGAGTCTGTTCCTGGGAGGTAAAGGGTACAGTGTGTGTGTGTGTGTGTGTGTGTGTGTGTGTGTGTGTGTTTAGACACCATTGGTTTTGCACATACACAGTTAGAAAGATGTTCTTGAACCTCATATCTCCAAAAATATGCTGTCTCTACACTGGTTGAGAAGTCTTTTATACATATGTGTGTTATGCACATAATTTTTCCAGGACAACCCAGTCGCTTTCTTTGTTTGAGGAGAGACCCCCCGCATTGCTCTTGGGTGCTGAAGCTCTCTTCATTTTATTATCTCCAAGCTGTGCTCATTGGCTTTGCACTCCTTAGAGGGTGACCCACTGCCTTCAGTTTTAGTCCAACAGCTGATGTTGGCATTGCCAAGGAAACACACACATATATTGTTCTATTCAAGACGCTAATTGTCTTATATGATCTTTGAAACAACTGTGGGGAGTAACTTTAATCATAGGAAGTAAAAGGCTGGTAAGCAAGGAGCTCTTCACTGCTCAAAGGAAATGTCTGCAGCTTGTCCTGTTGTCAGTCCTCTCCGCAGAGCCAGGGACAGCGAGCTAGCCAGCCTGTGTCACAGGGCCAGTCCGGAGGTAGTTGCTGTAGTTTCAGGAAAACCATAAAGGTGCTCTGGGTATATCATCAAGACAGGAGCAGAGCCCTGATGGAGTCTTGATGGAGAATAGACTCTTCCAGTGACCTTCTTCCAATAGTGAGGCCCCGTCTCCCAAAGCTCCCTCCAGCTCCCTAGAGTCCTGATAACTGGGGACAAAGACTCCAACTTACGAGCCAACGAACACAACCCAGATCCCAACTGAAATGCTCACCATCCTGAGAACCCGGGGACAGGAGGGACAAAGAGGGCAGAGTGCAGAGCCTCTGCTCTCTTGGCTACACTGTCCACACTGCCCACACTGCCCCACACTGCCCCACACTGCCCACACAGCCCCACACTGCCCACACTGCCTCACACACTGCCCCATGTCCAGCAGCTAGGTAGCCTTTGAGCCTTATCCTTTTGTTTTTTTTGTGCCTTACATCGGACCTTAATTTTTTCCTTACATTGACCACCAATGACCAACTCTACCTTCAGTCTCATTCTGCTCCAAAGCTGTGTGTGGGAAGGTGGAAATGCTCCAACCTTTTAGTTGTCTGGCTGGTCCCGCATCAACCAGGCTTCCTTTGCAGGGTATCCAGGAGCCCCCAGCTACCCACCATCTCATTAGCATACAAAAAGACACAGCATTTAAAAGGTTGAAAACATTTTAGGACCTCTTTAGCAAGAACCAAGAGGAGCAGTAAGAAGATACAACTTTTTCCCTCTTATTGTGACATCACATGTTCTTGAATGCATTTCTTGTACGGAGTCTGTGTGTAAATGAGTCATTCTGAATTCCAAATGTAAGGGGGGAGTTGTGGAGGGATTTCACTGCTGTTGCAGAATTTAAAGCTAGTTGAGTTTGCTATAGGTTTGCAGGAATCCTAGGAATCCCAAGTCTAGAGTCGTCTGGGAAAGAGGAGACTCTTAAAGAAGGAAGGGTGGATACGCTTTAGACAATACCTTAGGTGATTCAGAGACAGTATGCCCAAAGACACTGAGAGAGAGAAACATTTAGCTGGTTTGCAAGCAGGCATGAACAAGTTGTCGCACCATTTACAAGCAGATGGCAGCATTGCTAGACAGCAGTTCCCAAGGACACGGGCGAAGGGAGACACTCCCAGTGGGAAGAGCAGTTAACCTTTTACTTGTCTGTGTCCAGTGTTAGAGCTGGCCAGAAGGATGGCTCAGTGCTACTTGACTCACAGTTACAAATTGTTTGGCCTCGGGGGTCAGAGGCATGGAGGGAAAGAGGTGTGTACGGATGGGTCTGTCTTGAATGGGCACTGATAGTTGTATTTCACACCAGAGCTTATCAAAGGGCATGTACTGCAGTCGAAGCAAGTAATGGCCAGGCTGATCGGTCTCTTTGCCCAGCCATCACCACATGAGCTGCAATGGACCTCCCGTGGCCAAGATGGAAGGTATGTATGAACTCCGCAATGCACGCTCACTGAACATGCCAGCCTTGGTGAAGGCTGATGTCTAGATGGTAGTCTGACACCAGCCAAGACCCCTAATCTACCTGCATTGGCAGCTTCTGCAACACTTGTCTGTGCAGTGACCCTAACTAGTGGTTTCACAGGGAAGTATCTCTGGTGAAATGTCCCATGTCCTCACTCCATCAACATCTTTCCCTAGCACCTCCACCAAGTTGATTTCCAGCAAGTTCCTGAAGATATAATTCCTGTCAGATTTCACTGACACTACACTGTAGCGAAGTATTTGCCAACCAGCCAGTTACAGCTGTCAGCCCTGTCCAGGTTTACAGTCCTGGTGACTGATACAGCTACGGAATAAATACACTCATTTATCTGTGTAATTATTGCCCTGAAATATCAATCCCATTGTGTTGAGAAAAATGAAGATGCGGTCTAATTCTGAGAGGATGGATGCACTCCTACAAGGAGATTTTGTCTAAATTTGTAAATAATGCATGGAAGCCACATAAGCATGGCAGTGTACACCTTTAGTCCCAGCTATCAGAGGGTGAGACAGGAGGATTGGAAATTCAAGGTCATCCCTGGCTGCATGGTCTGCATCCACTCTGGGCTACACGAGACCCTGTTTCAAAAACAAACAAAAAAAGCGAATCTATGACAGTTTGCTTCTTTTACTGAAATCCTGAAGCTGAACATGCCAGTTTAGAATGCATTTTCTTTAGGATTTGTAGAGTCTAAACTATTCTCTGGACAGGTTGCAGCATAAGATTGTGACAGAAAAGATGGGTGCATAAATGGGACTTTCAAGGGTTTGCTTGCCTTTGGGTCAGCTTGGCCTCCTGCTCCCTTGGTTCTGTGGCTGCTTGAGAGATTCAAGAATTCACATTTGCAAATGCTTCATGATTTATGTCTGCTTTTACATACTTTATACTTTTCATCCTCTTAGCAGCTTTCAAAGTTATTAGTGGTAAACAGTGAACTTTCATTGTTCTTGTTTAAATACTATATGCATTTTGCAGAAAATATAACAAACATTGAGGAATAAAATTTTTAAATGGCCTACAATGATAGCATTAAGTGATAAGTATTGCTAAAACTTCTAATGTATATTCTTCCAAGCCTTTAACAGATAAAGACAGATTTTTGTAAATATAGCATCATGATAACAGTCTCATTTACATAATGAAATATCACAAATACGTTTTGTGAATTCCTCTTAATATGTATACATATACATATATGTGTGTGTGTGTGTGTGTGTGTGTGTGTATACATATATTTGCTGGCATGGCGCTCTCTATGTAGACCAGACTGACCTTGAACTCAGAGGTCTGCCTGCCTCTGCCTCATTGTGAGCGCTGAGATTAGAGCCAGCTACCATGCCAAGTTCATGCTCTTAATCTTTTGAATTATAACTGTCCCATGCCGCTCCTCAGCCCAGACTGCCCTCTGTGACAGACTGGGGAAGAACACTTGCAGCCGCTCTGCAGCCCCTTCCCCTTGCAGCAGACAAATATCTAGTGCTTGCTTCTGTGCCCTTGGCGTGAAGCCAGGCTAGATCACACAGTGTAGAGTTTGCCTACCCCGGAAAAGCCTGTAAGACCCAGAAACCCCCTTGTTCTCTGCAACTGAGGGGCCTGTTTTCCTTCTCAGGGTCCCTGTCTTGCTGGCTGTCCCTCCTGCAACAGAGCCCTTCCTATTGTGGGGCTATCTCTCTCTCCCATGTAGAGCCTGTTTTATCATGGACACCTCTCTCTCTCTCCCCCATGTAGAGCCTGTCTTAACATGGACACCTCTCTCTCTCTCTCTCTCTCTCTCTCTCTCTCTCTCTCTCTCTCTCTCTCTCTGTCTCATGTAGAGCCTGTCTTATCATGGGCTATCTCTCTCCTGATAGCGCCTCTCTTTCCTGCTGTGGGACTGTCTATCTCTCCTGACGGACACACTAGCCTCTCCTGTTGCCTATGGGATCTGCGCAGCCTCCTTATTGCTCTCCCTCTTCAAGGCTGGTGGTCACTCTGCGTGTCCATGGTTGTGAGGCCCTCTCCTCACAAAGCTCATTCTGAAGGGTAATTTCGTGCCCGCTCCTTTCGACGAACCTGACTTTTCTTTTAATAACAAGAATGTTATATTGTTAAGAATGGAGAGAGAGATGGGCATGGAACCACAGCTTTAATCCCAGCGCCCAGGAGGAGGAAGACTTATCTCTGTTAGTTCAAAGCCAGCCTGGTCTAGAAAGTGAGTTCTAGGTCAGCTAGGGATACACAATGAGACCCTGTCTCAGAACAAGGAAAAGAGTGGAAGGAAACTACATTCCCCACAGTATTGAAGCAGCAGCTGCACAGGTGCAGAGGTCACACATGTCAGTGACTGTGAGGACAATCTACAACTTCTATCATTCGGAGGGAAACCATCTTTAGGTTTTTTTTTTCAATTTATTTTTTATTAGTTTGTATGCTAATTTTAAACACATTAAAGAAATACAAGATACAGAAAAAATGATAGCACTTACTCATTCTGGCCCTAGCAAATACAAGAGTATTTTTCTTAAAAGGTAAAATAGTAAACTTCCCAGAATTCTGTTGTAATAAATGAATGTTTTGATACTCCGCGTGCAATTTTGCATCCAGACAGTTTATCACCTTTCCCACAGGGCATGCCAGGAAGTCAGAGAACAACTTGCTGCTGGTTCTCTCCTTCCAGCGTATGGATTCAAAGGACTCGATTCAGATCCTAAGGCTTGGTGGCAGGTACCCTTACCACTGAGCAAGCTGGCCCTTTAAAATATAAGAAAAAAATTCTTATGATCTCGGTTTCCCAGTTGTTGCCTTGGACCACAAGGATAAGCTGCTTGGGATTTTAGTTGTCAGGGACCCAGGAATCCCACTCCACAGATGGAGAGGTTGAAGGTATAGTGGTTGGTGGTTATGAACTCAAGTTTTCCTGCCCCAGATACTGTGTCATTTGCAACTACCAAGTGGAAACCATTTGCCACAGTACAAGATCTTGCAACTAGATTCACTGCACTGCGTGCCATGCAAGGGTTGTTTCTTCCATCTCCCAGCGTGACGTGACCACATTCATTTAGGTTCAGCTCAAGTCATTCATGTGGCGTTTCTGTCCCACGGCCTATGTGTAGTAATCCCCTGGGAGTCTAGAGTTTAGACTGACAGAGGGCAGTTTTTATTTTGTCCAGTGTAATTGTTTTTTAATTTCCCCAAAGATCTCCAGATGATTGCCTCCAACTCGTTCAGGTGCTCAGCAAATTTGTTGATGTTGAATATGATGAAAAACTACATTGATCCTGCGACTCCGGTGGACCTGTGAGGTCACGTGTGTCAGGACCAACCAGCCTTGTTAACATTTCTATGAGGCATCGCAGACTTTTGGTGAGGCCCACGAATGTTCTATGTCTTCCAGCTACCGTTCTGTAATTAAGTTTGCTGCATTTTGTAAAGTCACTTATTAAAGGTTTAGAGGTTCATTAGCAAGAGGGGGCATCACTGTCTTTCCACCACTAAAGTTGAAATAAGCAGAATTGTATGGAATGCCTATGAAGTATCAGGTTGATTGAGGAATCCCAGGTAAGTAGATATCAGATATCATCATATACTTACCTACACTGACCTACGTTTGATGTGTTTTTTTTAAACATTCATTTGTGTGTGTGTGTGTGTGTGTGTGTGTGTGTGTGTGTGGTGCTTGGCATTGAATTCAGGATCTCAGACATGCAGGGCATGTGCTCCATACTGAGCTATGTCTCCCTCTGATTGTTTATTATCACCTTAGAGTTTACTGCCACACGAAGAGGGTGTTCTCCACTTTAGGTTTATGCATTCATTGAATCAGAACACAATTCACAGATAATACAGTAGATAGATGAAGCACATTAACCACAGCATGAGTGAGGTTTCAGGATTATTTAAATCCAGCTATTGTTCAACTAGGGTGAAAGCAGACCTCTGGGGAGGAATGGAAGACTGAGCTGTGTCTTCAATGGAGCCCTTCTGGGAAGAGATGGAGTCTAACACCGTGGAGATGAAGGAGACTCCTGGAGGATCTGCTCCTGCAGGGAGCTCTGGGGGGAGGGTTTGGAAACAGCTGGAGATCAGGAACAGCTGGGGCTGGTTAGGCTTGGGGTAGAAGCCTGGTACTTCCTGAGTGCTCAAACTGTGTTAAACTCTTGTGTTCACCTGTGTTTAAGATTGTGCTAGTTGATGCCAGGAAGGCACATCGTTCTTTGGGTGTGTATGTGTGTTTCAGGTTGTTATAATAGCTAAACATATGCCACTCATTTGCAAATTATGTGTTTGCAATCACTGCAAAGCCAGATGACACGGCTGTTTACCTAGCTATGTGAACCTTTGTTCTTCTGACCATTAACAGTACTTTGCTAAAGATAAATTCCAATTCTAACACACGCAATTCACATTTTATATTGATGTCTTTCTATATTACAAGCTGATTTATTTAGAAACATGTTCTTTGAATAGTGTCTCAATAATGCTAATATTTAAAAATTTTGAAATCTTGAATACTCTGAGATAATCAGGTTTTCAGATTGGGAAGTCTGGGGTGTGGAGTGGTTTAAAGATATTTTAAATTCTATAATCTACCATCTAGTGTTCACTCGAGGAAAACGATAACATTTACTAACACTAACATGGCAGTCTCTTATCCTCTTAGTAAAGTTCTCTGTCACTAGCAAACTGCATGAAGCACTGTTTCACACCCGGAATTACATTTTGAATGGCCCTTTAGGAACCTGCTAAATTTTGCTTAAAACGTTAAGAACAAAATAAAACCCCTAAAGGGCTCAGTTTAGTCCCCTACCCCTAAGTGAAAGTTTTACATCCCTTACTCCAACTACCACCAACACCAAGCATGACCTATGCGCCTTAAAAGGCAAATGATGTCTTTATTAACAATGCATCTGAGCGTTTAAACACAGTCAAAACACAAGCGTGTTTCCATGATTTCTCCCATACGTCTTTGCCTTTAGCGAGTGACTTCGCATCAATGTTTTGGAGACTACACATTCGGCGCCGTTTTGTCCACAGCACCGACGGGTATCTCATTTATCCGGGTCTGACCAGGGGTTGCGGTTCATGCTTGCAAGAAGCCAGGAGGCACAGCCTTCCCGGCCTGTTCTGGGTCTCCTTGGGGTCAGAAAAGGACTAACTAGCCTTACCACCGAGTCCCCGAGGTTGATGGGATCTGGGGAACTAAGACAACCCCCGCCCCGAGCCTGAAAGAAGCCTCCAGGCAGCGCGGGTGGTTGGCAGAGGTGGGCGCCGGCTCAGCTGCGGAGAGAAGGCGGCGGCTCTGGCTGGGACCGAAAGACCAGGCTGTGGATCCGAGGACCCGTGTCGGTCCGCTGGCGGGCGAGCGCGGTGACGCTGGCCCGGGGCTCACCCAGAGGCAGGAGCGCGCCCAGCTCGGAGCCCGCCCGTCCCTTCCTCGCCTGCCCCACCCCGCGCCTGAGCACCCGCCCCTCCCCCTCCAGGCGTGCTGCGCCTGCGAGCGCCCCGCCCCGCCCCGCCCGCGGGCACGCGCCCCGTACCGGCCCTCCTCCCCCGCCCCGCCCGCGGGCACGCGCCCCGTACCGGCCCTCCTCCCCCGCCCCGCCCGCGGGCACGCGCCCCGCACTCCTCCCGCCTCCGCCCCCGCCCGCGGGCACGCGCCCCGCGCCCGCTCGCCCTCCTCCTCCTCGTCCCCCCCCGCCCCGCCCTGCGGGCGCACGCGAGCGAGCCGGCTTGTCCGAGGCGTGAGTTGGGCGGGGCGCCGCGCTGACGTTGCCCGGGATGCGGGCAGGTTCCGCAGCCGTCTTCGCCGCCTCCGCCTCTCCTGCCACCGGGGTTTGTATGAAAACACCGGGCGGCGGGCGGCGAGGGACCCGCCGGGCGCCCCGGGAGCCGCCGCGGGCGCGGAGGCCGAGCGCAGCCCCCGCCAGCGCCCACGCCGAGCCGGTGAGCGTCCCCGCCGTCCCGCGCGTCCCGCCGGCCGGACCCGTCAGCCGGCTCCCGGCGGCGCCTCTGCTCACCCGGCGGGGGCGAGGCGCGCTCCGACGCGGGGAGGGCCGGCTGTCGAGCACGGCGGCCGCCGCCGCCGCCCCGTGCGCCGCCCGCCGCGCTCCGCTCGCCTCCGGCTGCCCGCCACTCCCCGCCTGCGCCCCGCCGCGCCCCGGGACGCTTTGATTGGCTCCTGGTTGACAGTTTAGCGCCGCCGGAGGCGGTCGGGTGGACGTTGACGGCCTGAAGCTCGTCCGCTGGCACCTCGCTCGCTGGGCTCGCCCGCTCGCTCGCTCTGGGCGTGCGAGGTAACGGCGGCCGGACCGGCTGGCGTCGCGCGTTCCCGGCGGCCGGCCCTCCCTCCCTCCCTCCCTCCCGGCCACCCTCCAGGGCCGGGAAGGGTAACGGCGCGCCCCACCCCCGCCTCCGGTGCACGGCAGGCGGTCCGCGGGGACCCCTGGCCGGCGCTCGCACTTCTCCTGGCCAGCCTTCTGAGTTATGCTCGCAATTCTCCCTCCTCGCGTCCCCGAGATAGGAAGTTATTTTCGTGATTGTGCTTTTGGAATGCCTGCCGTCTGGCTAGCCAGAAAAAGAAATGGTTTATTTAAGGCACCTTGAACGGTACGGATTTTCAAACACGGGGCCAAGTGTCAACGCCACAGCCCCGGAGATCTGTCTGTATAAGCCGATCTCCCTTCACGGAGGCCCCTTGGCGGTCCGCGCGTTATTAGTCTACCCGGATCTCTCCCGGTTTGCTCGGTCTCCCGTTCCGCTTCTCCTGAGTCATATTCTACAGCGAAGCCACACGTTCCTTTTGAGTGACCGTAGAGTTTTACCTTGAGTTGGTGGATCGGTGTGTAAAATTGTAATCTTCGTTGAACTCTGAAACAGACCGCTTTTTGTGTTTGACCAACGTTACAAAATGTGGAGTATGTTAATGTAGCTTAACCTTTTGTGGTAGCAATTAGAGGTTTTTTTTTAGAATGTATTTTATATGTGTATGAGTGTTTGCATGTATCTGTGACCACCGCGTGTGTACTTGATGCCCGAGGAGGTCAAAAGGGGGCGTCAGATCTCCCGGAATTGGAGTTGCTTTTGTTGTGAGCCACCACGTGGGTGCTGGGACCTAGACCCACCCAGCTCCTGCGAAGACCAGCAGCGGTGCCCCCCTGAGCCGTCTCTTCAAACCCGTGGTAGCCATTTTAATAATGCTTTTCCCAATTGATTTGTATGGAGGTACCCCCCCCCCGTGTGTGTGTGTGTGTGTGTGTGTGTGTGTGTGTGTCTGTCTGTCTGTCTGTCTGTCTGTCTGTATGTGTATGTGCATGTGCGCGCGTGCGTGTTTAGGTGTTGGTCAGAGGACATGAGAGTTTTGGTCCTCTCTTTGACCTTGTGGGTGTGCAGGATGGGGTTGAGGTGGGCAGGTGCCACTGCTTGCAGAACCATCTTGCTATCCTCCTTGAATTGAAGCATTGTCTCTAGAGAAGTCTGGCTACACTGCTGTGCAATGTTTGACGACGTGTGAAATGTTTCAATTTGTATTACAAATACAAATCTTGTTGCATTTGTAGTAACATAATGCTGAGGTTTTGGGGTTTGTCTTTAAGCTCCTTCCACACGAGTCATCTTCAAAGTGCACTCTAGCAGCTCGGATCCTTTAGCATCTAAGTCAGAGCCGTAGAGAATGGTTGGAGTCCTCTGCACACTGCTTAGCATCTCTCATTGAGCAGCAGGCATCAGGGTAAAGGGTGGAAATGGTGCAGGGTGGGGGCCACGCCTTAACCTTGGTGTCATTGTAGGTTACAGTGCTTGTGTACTGCAGAGCAGTGTGCCTAAGGAGCTGGGGCCTGGCCAGAGAGGCTGAGTTTGTGTCCTGGCTTGCGGTAGGCCAGTTGTTTATCCTCTGGATTCAACTCTCTCCATGCCAAAAATGGAGATGATGGTGTTTGTGCCCTTAGGATGATCTCAAACATGAAACAAGTCAATGCCAATGTAGTGCTTTTCCACATTGCGTAGTTATAGGAAGTGCTCAGTAGACATTACTGTTCCTGCTACTGTTTTCCCTCAGTTAATCAGACAAAGAAAGAGTTCAGGCTGGTTGGGCAGCATTAGCGCAGATTAAATCCCCTTGATCCATTTTCTTTTTTGAAGCTGCGAGTGTGTAGTCCCACTGTCGTTCTGTGGATATGAAAGTTTTAAATAGAACAGATACTCCCTGAGCGGACTGCCCTGGGGTGGAGAACTGGGTATCCTTGCCTGTTCCCTTTGGCAGAACCTTGGAATGTCTCCCTCATGGTGGTGGTGGCTGCTATTTTAATCGCCTATTTTCCAGTTATTGACTGTTTCTCTGACTGTCATATGTTGCTGTTGGATTTATTATCAAAATACTAGTGGCTAAATAGACGTTTCTAGGATATACAAAGTAATTCTATCTACACACTCTGCCTTGTCTTTATTGATGCTCCATGAAGTGATGCTTTGATTTGACATGTTCATTTTAGCTCTCATGTAATTTTCCTAGGAGAATGGCTCTCCCTCATTAATAATTTCATATTCTTGTTCTTGGTTTGCAAGAATTGATGCAGCTTGAACATCTATCTGATATTCTTGGGGCCCACAGGTGGTTTAGATTTTGGGTTTTGGAATATTTTCATCCATCTAATAAGATATTTTGAAGATGGTACCCAAATCTGAACACGAAAGACATATATTTCACATATATATGTAGAATGTGATTTTATATGAAAGTTTTTAGTGTTCCTACATTTTGTCTGCAATATGGCAAATGAGGTCAGCTGTGAATTTTCCATTTGTGGCATCGCTTTAGTGTTCCAGAGGTTTGGGACTTTGGAATTCTGGATTAGAGTTGTGTAGCCTATATTCAAAGCCTGTGGTTAAATCAGATATTTTCAAACTTGATCTCAGGACTCCTTTTACATTCTTAGAAATCATCGTACTTTTTTTTTTGTAGATTGTATTCGTATTTTGTTACAATTAATATACTTTGTTAATTCACTTATAATGGTAGCCTTGAACACATTACATATTAATATAAACAACATAGTTGTAGATGAACAAACACAGCCTGTTAAGAAGAGTGGTAGTGTTTTACATATCTGTGACATTTTCATGCCCTTTCTCCAGCTCTTTGCTTTCCCTCCCTTCTCTTACCCATCTCCACCCCTTTGTTTTTGGAGTGCGCTAGGCAAGGAAGACCTCTACCTCTGAGATACACCCCAGACTTAGTTTGTCTAAACCTTTGATATCAAATAATACAAACAGATAGGTTATTTCTGCTTCAGCATTCAACTTATTGCAGTATGTTGTTTAGGTTGACGTGTGTGTGTGTGTGTGTGTGTGTGTGTGTGTGTGTGTGTGTGTGTGTAGGAAGTCCAGCTAGATACAGTCATAAAGGTGAGGGGATAATTGTGGATAGTTTTGTTTAATATGTTATCAGAACTCAACAAATGGCATTGTCATAAAAGTTAGTTGCAACATGGAATCTGAAATCCTATCTGAATTTCTCATACTCATTTATACTTGAATGCATTGTTGTGAGCATTAAATGGAACTTATTCCCTTTTGAATTTGTAACAGTTTGTTGGCCAGGTATTAGTATTGGTTCACTGAGTTGAGCCCATCTTCCAAGTGGTGTCACATTTTATTATACAGTACCAAAGAAAGCCATGTTTTGGGGTCCTAATACTGGGGATTGAACCCAGGGCCAGTCGGATTGCTTCTGTACTTTTTATTTTGGCACACTTTCATTTGCTGGGAATGCTGGCCTACTCTACCAGGCCCAACATAAGTCACATTTGTTAGTATGTTTATTCCCTGAGAAATTAATAGAAAGTTGTTTGTGTTGGAATACGATGATGGAGATGAGTTTTGCAAAGTTCTGCTTAAAAATATATTTTTGTGTGTGCATCTGTGCTGTGGTGTGCATGTGCAGGCCAGAGGACAGTGACTGTCTATTCTCTCCTTATTCTGTATGACACATGGGTAGTATCCACAAAACATTGCTATGTACTGAACAGTCAGTTAATGATTGTCTCAAGACCAAGGAGATCCATAATGGAACTGAAAGCTTGAATTAGTCTCTTTTTTTCATGAAACACCATTTGAATGGAAGTATGCATGTTTAAACTTGGGTGTCTTGGCAGAGGTTTTCACAGAAACGAACAGAGTAAGTCTACTTTCTCATCAAGTAAACAGATGATTGTTATGTTTGTGACAATGATGCCACCTGAGCTTTCAAAAATCGGAACTCTGGAAAGATGGCTTAGCAGGTAAAGGCATTTGCTGCAAAGTCTGGGAACCCACTGCCTCCCCCTAGGCCTGTCTCCCTCTTGTTGGTCTCTTTCTTCCCCCAGACAGCCTGCCTTCTGCTCTCGTGACACACGCAGCTCTTTACCCCAGGTCTCTTTAAAGCCCTTCCTTCGTGTGCTGTTGTGACTCTCACTATGCTGTCTTTGTAGTAATAGCTGCTAATACAGCTGTGGAGTGGTAATGTGGTTTGCAGTATGAGAATTAGTGATGTGAGTACCTTTAAATAAATCAGCCTTATAGTCAACCAATAACTAAATCAAATTTTATGTCATTGTAGAAACTATAATTTGCTATTGGTTTATTTTTAAATTAGGGTGTTTATTTATTTTTGGCTACTGAGTAGTGTGACATACATACATACAACATACATACAACATACATACATACAACATACATATCCCTTATCACTTGTATATCTGGCAAATCCATAGGCTGACTTTGTTTTGTTGATTGTTGAGTTTGCTATGCATGAGGTTTCTTAAGCATTTTTTCTTTAAATTAGAAACAACCTTGCTTCACATGTCAATCCCAGCTCCCTCTCCCTCCCTTCCTCCCCCACCTCCCACCAGGCCCCCCAACACCCCACCCAACCCCCACTCCAGTCCCTCCATGGGGGATCTCCAGAGTCTGTCATTTCGTTCAGGGCAGGGCCTATACCATCCCCCAAGAGTTGAGGCTGAGAAAGCATCCCTCATTGTGGGATGGGCACCCAAAGTCCATTTGTGTGCTAGGGATAAATACTGATCTACTACCCACGGCCCCATAGATTGCCGAGGCCTCCTCACTGACACCCACATTCAGGGGTCTGGATCAGTCCCATGCTGTCCTTCCAGTCATCAGTCTGGGGTCCAAGAGCTCCCCCTTGTTCAGGTCAGCTGTTTCTCTGGGTTTCACCAGCCCGGTCTTGACCACCTCGCTCATCACTCCTCCCTCTCTGTCACTGGATTCCAGGAGTTCAGTTCAGTGTTTAGTTGTGGGT